ACTTGGGAAACCGGTAACAGTGCCATCTAGCTGCATCGTCGAAAGGAGCCCACCTACCCCTCGCCCTGGCTCGAAGAGCGTTGTACCGTCAAACGATGAGGATGCTCACCCTAGCTTCTGGATGGACACAAACGCTGAGAACACACGGGAGGAATTTGGGCACAACCGCAATGCAAACTAGCACTCTTTGAGGTCACCATTGTCGAGGACGCAAAACCATCGAAGCGAAAAGGAAACTGCCCCCATTAGCACACCCTTGCCCACCAGGAATAGGAACTTTGCTCATGAGCCGGAACCTCCAAGAAGGGAACGACATGACAGTGCTGCCAACGCCTAGTCCGACAAGCCGGAACCAGGGTTTTCACCTAGAGCACAAGGAGGAGGAGGACAACCCACAATGACGCCTCCAAGGAGGGGAAGCGGCGATCGAGAGCGTCGTCGTCACTGGCAGCGACATCATCGTACTGATTTTTCACTCGAGATAATCGCCACCAACCACCTAAAGTCCTACTACCATCACCTCCCTAGCAGCCAAGGCTCATCGGAGAGGCGAGGTAGCCAGAGGGTGATGAGAGAGATGCAGAAATCTACCTGGGTCGGTACAGAGATCACACCCAACGCACATAGAGCCGCCCAAGCAAGCTACCATGTCGTCCACACAACCAAGGCCACACAGCAGCACCACACAACGGCACCTGCCGCAAGGATGCTGCCACGCCAATCATCCGGAGCCACCGCTCCGAAAACCACATGAACAACCTCACCAGCCTCTCTAGGAGAGACAAGCCACACACACGCAACCAACCAACCCAGCTGTCGTGCAATTGCTGCTCCGGCACAACCGCCGGTACAAGCCCATCTGCAGCCGGTACCAAATCGACGATGGTGAGTGACTGCCCAGCCATGAGGGCAACCGACGAAGAAAGGGCCTTGCTTGGTGGAGTCTCGACGTCGCCGAGCCGGTGCAGGAAGGGTACCCCATCCCCGACCAACATTCAACAGCAGCCAAACGACGACCGCAACCATGCCAAACCGCACCCCTATGCGATGGCACCCGCGGCTCAGATCCCTCCGCCGGTGAGGGAAATAGCACCATCCAACTAGAATCCATGGCCTGACATGATGGAGGTTCACCGAGGACGCTGATCTGGAGCAGGAAATGCAGTCGGAGATAGGGACTGGAGCCCACGGGAGGAAGCATGGAAGTTAGAGAAGGAGGCGGCGCGGGGGGAGGAGGGGCGAGATGGACCAGATTCGCCCCGCCGCCACCATCCTGACAATGAAGGGGGCTACCTGGCGGCGGCTAGGGTTCCCCCGTGTCGCCAGAGGAAGGCAACATGGGGGAGGGGGTGGGCGACAAAACAAATTCCTGTTGAGCAATTTTAGGGCCTCTTTGATTCGTAGGATTTTGAAAACATAGGAATAGGAAAAGTGTAGGGTTGGAGCGGCATGCCCATTTGAATCCTATAGAATTAGCAATGATTGTTTGATGCCACGGGAAAAACAAAGGAATCGTAAAAAGAGGTTGGAGTGATGTTAAATTTCCTATGAAATGTAGTGCAAAAGATGTCGTAGGAAAAATTCCTATGGGATGCAATCCTATAAATCAAAGGACCAACATAGGAAAAAATCCTAAGGATTTGAATCTTTCAGAAATCCTATAAAATTCCTTTGAATCAAAGAAGCCCTTAGCATGCTCAAACCCACTACTTAATGCTACCAACAGCTTAGATATATTTTATGCTCTTACTTCTCATGTGAAAAGGGGAGGTAAGAGGGAACATGTTAAAAAACCTCCCAACTGTATGAGCCGGGCTCAAATTTTAGGGCAACTGCAAAATTTGGGAAGGGGAATGGGAGTTTAATGTAGGGAGTTGTATTGAGATTAGACATGGAATGGGTCATTTTTTTCTTAATTCCCTGTTTGGCGCATGATGAAAATTATGTGTGAGTGTTTGAGGAGAAACTGTATTCCCGTGTTTGGTTCGTGAGAATTGACAAGGAAAATTAACGTAAGTTATGATGAAAGGTTAAGGTTGACTCACTAAAACAATTCTCTTCCAACTCTCACCCCTCCTCTGTTAATAAAACGGTGGGAGTTGGAGTCTCAAGTCCCATGACTATTCGCTTATGAACTCCAACCCCCCTAACCAAACAATAGATTTAAAGTCTCGTACCCTTCAATTCCCATTCCCTAGTTTCAATTACCCCCAACCAAACACGCGGGAAAGGAAAACACGAAGTCTGACCCGCAAAAAAAAAGATATGGATGACCCGCAAAAAAGAAGAAGAAGGAAAACACGAAGTTCATATAAATCACGGATGTTTCTGAAACTTGAGTGAAAATTCAGTGAAACCTATCTAGGGATGGATTCACCCAATGCTCACCCCCCCCCCCCTCTAGTTGTAAATACTTCCCTCAGACGTTAGTGTTTGAGTTTTGCGTGTCTTATCCATAAGCACAAGTATCGACAAGACCTCCTGGACTACACATCTTCAGAACCCTAATTTAGTATATAGTTTTGACTTATATCATTACTTCATATTTTTGGTTGTTCTTCGATAGCATACAAGGATTGATTTACCTGATCAAGTTGACCATATTTCCATCACCGTCACAAATCATCCTAAGTTGGTCTAGCGGTTGCAGACTAAGCTGAGGCATCCAGTGTCCAGTGTAGTCAGGCTGTCAAAGTCTCCTCCAACATAATCTTTTTTTTGCGGGTCACCCTAGCACGCATCGGTTTAGTAAATGTAGAGCAAGCAAAATGGAAATAAAATTTTCAATTGAACCCTTGAATTTTGACGAAACAAATTCCCCTATGAGCTGGGCTCAAATTTAAGGACAACTGGTTTTGACCTGAACGGATAACACGAAGCTCATACAAAACACGGATGCTTCTGAAACTTGAGTGAAAATTCAGTGAAGCCTGTGGCCCTGCCTCAAAGACGACCGACATACATACACCACTCCAACCATCAAACCCTCCATCATCCAGCTGAACAAATATGGTTTACTCCATGGAAGGGAGCGAGCGAGAACACATGAACACGTACGTCCCTTCCTGGAACGACGACAAGGCACAGCTGTGCCGAAGAAGATGCGGCACCAAGATTATGCAGGACGGAGAAGAAGGCCTCGGCTAAAGTACAGTCTCAGCGACACATAAATGCACTTATACGCATGTGCGGTCACCGATGCAGGCGATGAATCCAAACGTGGCGTGCCATGCCGGGCCGCAAGGATCCAAAGCAGGCGCTGTTTACATTATTGTTCAATCAAGCCGAAGTGCAAGCGCATGCGCTGCGCCGTGATCACTGATCGGGCCGAAGAAGCTCGCTAGAATCCAAACACGGAGGAGCACCGCTCGTCTGACAACTTGCGAGATTCCCTTCTCTTCTCTTCTTTCTTTCATGCCCATCCATCATGGGTCTGTCAGGGCAGAGCAGGGAGAAGAACCTTCGCAGCCCTGCTCTCCTTCTCTTCCCTGCCAGAACAATGTGCCGCGTTTGTATATGGATACAGATCATGTTCCTCCTACCGGCACGAACATGGAGCAGAGGTTAAAGAAACATGTGCGGCGATCTGATTGAGGTTGATCCTTCAACTTGGCGGAAAGATGCCGGCCCCCGTTTTATAGTACTATCCGTCCGTCCAAGTTGGCCGGCTTTAGCACGGTCAATCGATGCCATGGAGTGAGCGATCTCCGTCCCTAGATCGGGAGCAATAACTTCACTGCATGAGCGGGGTTTCTTACTGATCGAACCCTCCACGACCTCTATCTTAATGGAGGCAGAAATGTCAAGGTTAAGCAGGGGATGGATGGATCACGGACGCATCTTGGGCGCTAATAAAATCGCAGAGTCCAATTAGACCACGCCGCTGCTGCACATGCGCGCATGTTCCTCGCCTAGGCTGGACGTGTAAAGGAAGGGTCGGGGGCCAGAGAGACACCCGGACACGGGAGCAGAAACATGCTACACGCGCGTCGGACCAACGGTGCATATGCAGGTAGTATCATTCATGTGGTTCGCTGCGTCGGGTACTCTGGTCTGCCTCGTGCATGCTCTGTCTTTTCTCCCGGTTCTTCGTGTGCAGTTTCAGGCTTCGAGCCACGGCCCTCCTGCCGTCCTGTACCTTCGGTTGGTTCTGTTTTAGACGCGCGTTTCAGGTTGCGTGCATGCGCTTTCCCACAATCCAATTGCTCTTTCTCTTTGTCTCTCTCTCTCTCTGTGTGGAAACGGTAAAAATTATTTGTCACCATCCCGTCGAAATCTTATTATTATCAGATTGGTATCTGAGCTGTGTCCATGTCATGAAGAAGGGGGTGAGTGATCCGCCGGAATCTGGAAGAGTTAAAGCTTGGTTTGGTAGGCGAAAGCCTCTTTTGAAGATACCAAGTACTGGTCCTTGGCTTTACTCAGCACTCACTTCTTAAAATGTACGCAACGAACACATCTTAATGTATGCGAATACACAATGAATTCCAATCTTACGAATGACAGAATAACACTGAAGGGGCAATTAATTCCATGACACGGTTGATCTCTATGTTGTTGTACCTGTCATGCTGTACCTCTGAATGTACGCATATGACACTGTTTAGCTAGGTATACCCAAAGTAGCCTCACAAAACGAATCAATGGAATTTGCAAGATTGTGACACCTGATCTACCCTTGTAGTACTATGTCACAGGTTACAGCCATGAATGATCGATGCAATGCAAGTGGCGCGTCGGAGGTGACCTAGGTGAAAGAGAGCTGCTACACAGACGACATATTCGGACGACTTGCAGACGATGCAGGGCATCCAGCCATCCATGCGTAGTCCAAAAGTGAACATCACCGTTGAGTCCTCCCATCGTTCACGGATCGGCTGGTTTATGTCGTCCATACAGCAATTTCGTAGGTGAAATGTATGTGGCGATCATGTCATGTACAGTGGCCGGAGTACACATGTGCAGATGTCTGAATTTGGCAAGTTTGGCCGGAGTACTAGCTAGTTCACGCTGCTGCAGACCTTCCTGATCTCCCCGGGCGGCCCGGTGAGCACGTCGGCGTAGCCCATCTTCACCATGGCGTCCGCGAACTTCTGCGACCACAGCTTCCGGTTGGCGGCGTACTGGCCGACGAGCGCCGCCGTGTCGCTCTGGTCTAGCAGCGCCTGGTCGGAGTTGAAGAGCACCTCGTGGGTGCCGATGTTCTTGTAGTACTGGTTGTCGAGCTGGAGCGGCGTCTTGGCGTCCAGCTGCACGACGCGGTCCAGCCGCCCCGTCGCCGCCGGGCACTTGCCGGCGCGGAGGGCCTTGGCGAGCGTGTTGTTGAGCGTGGGGTCGATCTGCGGGTAGAGGCGGCTGGAGAAGGAGGAGCAGTGTGAGCGGCCGATGGAGTGGGCCCCGGAGAGCGTGACCATCTCGTCGGCGGTGAGGTTCTTGGACGCGAAGCGGGTGATGAGCTGGGTGAGGTTGAAGTTGGCGGGGGGCAGGTTTGCGAGCGCCTCGGTGGCGTTGGAGACGCGGCCGTCGAGGCGGCCGGAGGGCATGGCGAAGACTATGCCGCCCATGATGCGGGAGGCGTCGCGCGCGGCGAAGGCGACGATGTCGGCGCAGGAGACGACGCCCGGGCAGCGGCGCTCCACGACGCGCTTGATGCGGTCGATGACGCCGAAGCCGCGGAGGCTGGGGAAGTTGGGCGCCGCCGTCTTCTCCACCGTCCGGTTGCCCGGGCTGCCCGTGGGGTCGTCCAGCAGCACCGACGCGTCGCAGCCCTGCACGCACGCACCAACCAAGGAATGCAGCTAGCTACATTAGCAGCGTAATTAAGCACGCACGAGCTCGATCGATCGAGCGGAGCAACGGAGTTAGGTACCCTGACGAAGCAGTCGTGGAAGAAGAGGCGGACGAGGCCGGGGCCGTTGCCGGCGTCCATGCGGACGGAGGCGTGGACGATGGTGGCGGTCAGGTTCTCGGCCTCCGGGCACGTGGAGTCGTAGTACCCGACCTTGAGCTGCGCGTCGGCGGCAGGGACGGAGAGGATCAGGCACGCGCACACGCACGCGGCAACCACCGCCAGCACAGATCCGCCATTGCCAGTACCAATACCAGTACCGCTGGCCATCTCCCCTGCACGTACCTCTACACTGGGTATTATCTACTACACGAGTCCACTGGTGCTGGCTGAGCTAAGCTAAGCTAAGCTAGCTCGATGCCCGCGCTAGCTCAGCTCTGGTATCGGCTATCGGGGATCGTACTTCCCGGTGAGTGTACCAGCAGCAGGCAAGCGCAGTGGCATTTATACGTGGCCGGCCGCGTCTCCAACTAACTACAGATTCGAGGTAGATAGAAAACGGAAGCTAGCGAGCGAGCGACCTGCTGCTGCTGCATGCACTGATTAATCAGCTTGGAACGTGGCCAGTGTGTCGACCGACTGAGCCGAGGGAGACGGGAGACTGTAGGAACATGGGACCGAGCCGAAGTTGACCCGCGATCGACCGCCACCAATTAGGTTTCGTGCCCTGCAGCTCGCTGGCCGCTGTTCTCTTCTCCTTGGGGCGCCGAAGTGGTTGCGGTTAACATGGAGCCTGCGGTGTCCGCGCGCACTGACCATCCGTGCTGTCCCTCTCCGGGTGCCGTCCCCGCGCTGCAACGAGCCGGTGCGCGCTTCGCCGGTGCCACTGCCACGACGGGATCGCGATATTTTTTGCGGGATTACAATACGGCGGCGGGGAGCACGGCCGGCGTTGACGGAATGAGATGCGGAATTGTACTTACTGTGGATCGAGATTGGGCTCTACGCATGCTGTGGCTAGTGGTGGTGGAGTCGGGCGGTAGGACACTATAGTAGCTAGCTGATCCGCAACATCGGGATCGGGGATTAAATTCCTCAGGCCAGGTTGAGGGGCATTGGCTGCCCCTGGGTTTTCTACTTCCTGTCAGTGCTGCTGCTTTGGTATATTATTCCACCGAGTCGGCATTTTCTCCCCACTTCGCTCCAGTTTGCACCCGAAATTTCCCTGGATCCATGGTTCTCGGCTATCAGAGCATCTACATCCGGACGACAAATACGGTCCCTATATACCCGTCGACGTGTCCGGACACGCCCACGAAAGCATCTGGAGATCATCCCTTATATCTCGTGCCCGACTGCCACATACTTCGAATCCGGACTCTCAAATCCATGCACGTCCATCATACACGCCAATGTTGCACATAAATAACAAATGTTGGTGCCGAAAATACATAGTGCTTACATAAAATTTATTTTAAATGCACAACTCAAACATTAGTCATTGGTTTTCATCATGGGTCCACATATGCTTCATAAGATCACCGAGTAGCTCCGCGTGCATTTGATGATCTCGAAGATTCTGATGGATCTACAGAAAATTCATAACCTGATTTGCATCTTGATCTTTCGGGATTTGAACATGTCCTCTAGGCGCTTCAAAATTATTGGTTTGGGCAACACCATCACTCTCATCCTCGACAATAATATTGTGCAAAATAATACAACATGTCTTTGACAGCCACAAAGTTTTAGATTCCCACATCATTGCAGCTCCATGAATAATTTCCCAACGAGCATGAAGCATTCTGAATGCCCTCTTCACATCCTTCCTAGCTGGTTCTTGCATTGTTGCAAAGTGACTTTGTTTGTTGCCGTGTGGTTTGGATATGGTCTTCACAAACGCCGTCCACTAGGATAGATACCATCGGCAAGATAGTATCTCATGTCGTAGTCATGACCGTTGGCAGCGTAGTTACGCGGCGGCGATTCCCCATTACAAAGCCGCTTGAACACGGGAGATCTTTGAACTACGTTGATGATGTTGCGAGAACCCGTCATTCAAAAGAAAGCATGCCAAATTCATAAGTCGTGGGATGCACTGCTTTCCGTATGATTGTGGCCGCTTTGGTGCGACCTTGATACATTCCCCGCAAACGTTTGGGGTAGTTCTTCCATTGCCAATGCATACAATCACTTGATCCGAGCATTTATGGAAACCCTCTGGCCTCTCCAATAGCCAACAACTTTTATGTGTCCTGCACATTTTGTTCTCTCAGATACTCTGCTCCAAACACCTGCACCACCAAACTTGACAGTAGTCTTTAGGCATGTGCTCTCCCCCACCGGCCCATCTCACCAAGGGTATCTGCGGCAGTATCAAGTGCAATCATACTCAGAGTAGCGGTGCAATTATGCTTAGCAGGGAGAGAAAGTTGGTCGCAACAATCCCTTGTGAGCTTGAAGTAGTCATTATGTGTGTCCACTCCCTCCACAATGCGCAAAAACAATGGTTTACGCATGCGAAAACGGCAATAAATCCATGGATCACCCAAAAAGTTGGGTCCGTAGCAAAGTAGTCGTTGTGCAGTAGCCGTGCTCTGGAGACCCTATCCCGGTTGATCACTCTTCTCCCTTTGATTGAGTCCTTAAAGTTCGGAATATGCTCCACCTACAGGTCCATTTCCTCTTGCATGCTCACATGAGCATGATCATGTCCACTTCGTCGTCGAATCCGGTGAACCAAAGAACTTAGCTTCAATCATTTTATCAAGCTCCGTTGAGCCATACTCCTCGTCTGACGAAGCATCGGAATTCATCGCTTTCCCTACTAAAAAATCACAAAAATCCGGGTCAAACATTCTGTCGGACACATAGAGTGTCGGTGTCAAAACCGGCGGATCTCGGGTAGGGGGTCCCGAACTGTGCGTCTAAGGCGGATGATAACAGGAGGCAGGGGACACGATGTTTACCAAGGTTCGGGCCCTCACGATGGAGGTAATACCCTACTTCCTGCTTGATTGATCTTGATGATATGGGTATTACAAGAGCTGATCTAGCACGAGATCGTAGAGGCTAAACCCTAGAAGCTAGCCTATGATTCTGATTGTTGTTGTCCTACGGACTAAACCCTTCGGTTTACATAGACACCAGAGGGAGCTAGGGTTACACAGAGTCGGTTACTGTAGGGTTTCGTAGTGATTTCAAAAAAAATCCTACGCACACGCAAGATCATGGTGATGCATAGCAACGAGGGGAGAGTGTGATCTACGTACCCTTGTAGATCGACAACAGAAGCGTTTGGTTGATGTAGTCGTACGTCTTCACGGCCCGACCGATCAAGCACCGAAACTACGGCACCTCCGAGTTTTAGCACACGTTCAGCTCGATGACGATCCCCGGACTCCGATCCAGCAAAGTGTCGGGGAAGAGTTCCGTCAGCACGACGGCGTGGTGACGATCTTGATGTACTACTGTCGCAGGGCTTCGCCTAAGCACCGCTACAATATTATCGAGGACTATGGTGGCAGGGGGCGCCGCACACGGCTAAGAATACGATCACGTGGATCAACTTGTCCTTCTCTGGGGTGCCCCTGCCTCCGTATATAAAGGCTCAAGAGGGGGAGGCCGGCCGGCCATCATAGGGCGCGCCAGGAGGAGTCCTACTCCCTCCGGGAGTAGGACTTCTCCCCCAATCCTAGTTGGAATAGGATTCGCGAGGTGGGAAAAGAGAGAGAGAGAGAAGGAGGGGGGCGCCGGCCCCCTCTCTCCTTGTCCTATTCGGACTAGGGGGGAGGGGCGCGCGGCCCAGCCCTGGCTGCCTCTCCTCTTCTTCCACTAAGGCCCATTAAGGCCCATATAGCTCCCGGGGGGTTCCGGTAACCTCCCGGTACTCCGGTAAAATCCCGATTTCACCCGGAACACTTCCGATATCCAAATATAGGCTTCCAATATATCAATCTTTATGTCTCGACCATTTCGAGACTCCTCGTCATGTCCGTGATCACATCCGGGACTCCGAACAACCTTCGGTACATCAAAATGCATAAACTCATAATATAACTGTCATCGTAACCTTAAGCGTGCGGACCCTACGGGTTCGAGAACAATGTAGACATGACCGAGACACGTCTCCGGTCAATAACCAATAGCGGGACCTGGATGCCCATATTGGCTCCTACATATTCTGGGAAGATCTTTATCGGTCAGACCGCATAACAACATACGTTGTTCCCTTTGTCATCGGTATGTTACTTGCCTGAGATTCGATCGTCGGTATCCAATACCTAGTTCAATCTCGTTACCGGCAAGTCTCTTTACTCGTTCCGTAATACATCATCACGCAACTTAACTCATTAGTTGCAATGCTTGCAAGGCTTAAGTGATGTGCATTACCGAGAGGGCCCAGAGATACCTCTCCGACATTCGGAGTGACAAATCCTAATCTCGAAATACGCCAACCCAACATGTACCTTTGGAGACACCTGTAGAGCTCCTTTATAATCACCCAGTTACGTTGTGACGTTTGGTAGCACACAAAGTGTTCCTTCGGCAAACGGGAGTTGCATAATCTCATAGTCATAGGAACATGTATAAGTCATGAAGAAAGCAATAGCAACATACTAAATGATCGGGTGCTAAGCTAATGGAATGGGTCATGTCAATCAGATCATTCAACTAATGATGTGACATCGTTAATCAAATAACAACTCTTTGTTCATGGTTAGGAAACATAACCATCTTTGATTAACGAGCTAGTCAAGTAGAGGCATACTAGTGACACTCTGTTTGTTTATATATTCACACATGTATTATGTTTCCGGTTAATACAATTCTAGCATGAATAATAAACATTTATCATGAAATAAGGAAATAAATAATAACTTTATTATTGCCTCTAGGGCATATTTCCTTCAGTCTCCCACTTGCACTAGAGTCAATAATCTAGTTCACATCGCTATGTGATTAACACCAATAGTTCACATCTTTATGTGATTGGTTCACATCTCCATGTGACTAACACCCAAAGGGTTTACTAGATTCAATAATCTAGTTCACATCGCTATGTGATTAACACCCAAAGAGTGATCATGTTTTGCTTGTGAGAGAAATTTAGTCAACGGGCCTGCCAAATTCAGATCCGTATGTATTTTGCAAAATTCTATGTCTACAATGCTCTGCACGGAGCTACTCTAGATAATTGCTCCCGCTTTCAATATGTATCTAGATTGAGATTTAGAATCATCTGGATCAGTGTCAAAAACTTGCATCGACGTAACCCTTTACGATGAACCTTTTTGTCACATCCATAATCGAGAAACATATCCTTATTT